TTTTTAATCACACTCCAAACCAAGTGTAATGAAATTCAATGTATCCTCCTACAATGGTTTGTATCACATCCTACTCAAATGCACACACAGCTGTTCGTATAATACCCTACGATATAGCACCCCATGAAAGAACTGATGTACATCAAGTAAAGTTATGCGCTTTAGGGGCTTTCACACCTGCCCTGTTTGGCTCGGTTCAGTCAAACTCAAGTTTGTTTGCCCCCTCAGTGTGGGGGGTGCGCCAAAACAACCGGACTGAGACCTTCTTGAAGAGGTGGTCTCAGTCCGGTTAAACATTGTTTTCTAGTTGGAGCCGCGCCTCGTTTTCAAACTGTATGGTTTGACTAAAATGAACAATGACAGCAATATAGTCCACGATGAGCAGCGCTAAAATCAACCTGTGTAGTTGTCCCTCCACTGTGACATTAGAAAGTGTTACATTTATCTTGCAAGTGTACTCTTCTTCAACGTTTTGTTTACTTCCTGGATTTTTCCTGCATGGAAATAACCTAAAACATAATTAGTCCCCTGATTCAGACCAAGGCAAAACAACTCTAGGTCTGAAAGCACCCTAAGATAAAGTTAGGGAGGTGTAGATATGGTGTATGTAGATACTTTACGTACTTCGGAAAAGTACAAACAGTGCATGAGAACATCTTGCTTGTTTCACATGGTAAGATTTCAACCACTCTTTTCCGAGAGACAAAGGAGCACACGCAAATGTGGGTTAGGGGTACAACTAAAAATGGGATTGGGCCTAACTGCAAGCTAGAACAACAGTACCATAGCACTGTCTTGTCGACAACTAAGCCCTTTTTTCTTTGTCTCATCTTTATTGATTTATCCACGGTGTGTAACTCTGTACTATTTTACATTTCCGCTGCCTCCTTGCATTGGGCCACTTTCACTCACCCATGATGCTCTAAACCTCCAACATGTAATCAAGATAATGATTCCCATAACAGTCTTGTAAACATGGACAGTGCAGCTATGCAACCTAATGAAGCACCACAGTAATAGTCTGCTGTTCTGTAACCACCTTGCATTACACAACTAGAAAACCAAGCCCACGATTTAATGGCATATGGGGTAAATAAACGTTTGCAATGTCAGCATAACTCGGGGAATAATAAGCCATAAAAGTGAACATCTTTATATCAAAATCTGTACCAACCGACACTGTTGCTAACTCTGAGTCTCAACAAAATGAGACACCTGATTTCCTTGAATTCTGCTTGTCCATTTCAGCTCCTTGTCTCTGCCATGAATGATTCATGCGACTGGCTTTTCTGTACCGACCACGGTGAGGGCTAGAAAATTGGATATGCCCTAATTCACATACATGCACACACCCTGGCACGCACGCAAATCTAATTTTCGAGAGTTTTGGCACAGCCGAAGCAACAAGTATTACTCACACCCTGACACTTTCATCATTCTGTAAAACAAAAAACTGGCAAACCAATTTCTCTTTGTTTTCAGGCGGTCTTAAAACTTCCCCATCCACTTCACCAACGGCTGAGTCAACTTCGCTGCTAAGACCTGCTTGGAATGCACGGAGCGACACCGTTGGGAGCTGAAAATGTACTGGATTAATGCTGAGGAGCGATCTCATAAACACAATTTGCCTCCTTTATGCTTGGTTAAGTATTTTCATAATATTGGACTTCTGAAATAACTTTCTATTATTGGTGAGCGATATGACACCCAGTCTGTGAAACAGTCATTGTCTCAGATATTGGCTCCAGCAGAGCAGTGGGAGTGAGTGTCACTCTTAGTTACAGATTAACTGTGGATACATCCAGCCCCTATTGTTCACGGGCCTGGAGGATTAGTCACAGCACTGAACATGGCTGCCCAGGTTTGATGTTTCCATTAAACCGGCCACATATACAGTAAGGCCCCGTTCAGACAGAGAAATGTATCGTGTGCTGCAGAAAGCAAGGCATGTCACAAGAGAGGGGGAGAGAGATGAATCATGACATGGGAATGGAGTGTGGTTTTCCCCGAGTCCTTTACACTCAAAGTTCAGTTCAGTTCAGATTTTGTCCCACAAGAGGAAAATTCTTTCTGCAGCGAGGCAGCATGGAAACAATAAAACAGAGGACATAAAAGAGTGAATACTATACCCACAGCACAAAACAAAATGAAGAGTCCATGTCATAAAAAGCTGCAACAAATTAAAATATAGGGAGATAAAAAAAGATAAAGTGCTCGGCTGCACCAAGAGGCAGTTAGGTGTGTTTACTGCATATAATTCAATAAAAGTTGTCTTCTGTTACACCTGAACCTGTGTCTCTGTCCACAGTGGGATGATGTAAAATTCATTAAGCATGTAATCCAGCCAGCGTCCACAGAAGTTACGTTCACATTTCATTTTAGTATGTTTTTATTTACAAAGCTATCCTTAGTAGAAGTCCTACCTACTTATCTTCTCTTTTAAATCTCAAACATGGAAGTTACAATTTCTGTTTGCAGGGCTTTTTGCGTTTTGTTGTGCCCAGAGTCACAACTGAACTGGGAAAGAAAGCTTTTAAGTTCTCTGTAAATATACAGATGATGCCACTAGTGTCCAACGCAAGGAAGTGAATTTCATTATAGATGGATAGAAACCTGACAGGAACTACCTGTAGCCATGCTGACACACACCCAGTGGGAACGGGGGGCAACAGATAACACACTGTAGGAGCAGCAGCAATAGTATAAAGTCCAGCTGAAGGGGCGCCTCAGGCCGCAGGCACCCCATGTACAAAGGCTATGTCACTGCCACAGTCGCAGCCCTTTGCTGCATGTCATCCCCTCTCTCTCCTCCTTTGGGGCGGCAGTAGCTCAGTCCATAACTCAGTCCGGGATAGTGAAAACAGTCCTGCTTCTTCTCCTTCTTCTTCTTCGTCTTCTTCTCCCTCTACTTCTTCGTCTTCTGCTTCTTCTTCTCCTTCTTCTTCGTCTTCTTCTTCTTCTTCTTCTTCTTCTTCTTCTTCTTCTTCTTCTTCAGACGACAGGAGCGGGATAGGGAACACAGTCCCAATCAGGGCTCTCCTGCTAACTACAGTGGCTGATGTGAAAATGCAAATGGCCCAATCTATAGCCAGTGTTTGGTTTGTCTGTTGTGGGCCACTGTAGAAATATGGCGGTGCAACATGGCAGACTCTGTGGACGAGGACCCGCTCCCTATATAGATATAAACGTCTCATTCTAAGGTAACAAAAACACAACAATTCCTATTTTCAGGTGATTATACACTAACGAACACATATTTATTTGATTATATACCATTTCCACTAATGTATCCCCCTAAATCCTGAACACTGGACCTTTAAATCTGCTTGCTTTTACATACTATTCTTGGCCAGGTCTCCCTTGTAAAAGAGATCATGGAACAAACCTGGTTACATAAAGACTAAATTTTAAAAAAGCACCACCAGCTATGAACCAGTGTTGCAGCCGTGCTCCGCATGAATGAAATACACTTCAATACAAATTTAAAAATGTTCCTCTGAAGCATTGTTTTTCTGTGTGAATGGGCCCTCAAAGCTGCCTTTACAATCTACAGTACGCTGGCGAACAGATCTGTAGTCAATGACTAACCCACCGTGGGGAAATCATTCATTATGCAGTAAATATCTCCCCCTCTGTCCCCGTATTCAAGTGCCTGTCTGTCTGTAAATCTGTGTTTGTGTGCGAAAACTTTATCTCTCAGTTTATCTGCAGAGATTCACGGGTCAAAAGTCTGGTAATTAATAATTAACTTTCCAGGGCTTCTGAATCTGTGCTTCCAATACACACACGGCTGTGTCACATTAAGTAGGTAAGGGCAGAGCAGATCCATTATTCATCCTGTTGACTGGTTCATAGGTTCAGGGTTGAAGGGCCAGTCCCTCGGGGCTGGATATGGGACACAGGGCTGACGGTGAAGCTACGAGCTCCCAACACAACATGTAAGAGGACCACGGTGAAGCTCTTTGTGGCAACAGAATCGCTTGGGGATATATTATCTCCAGCTATTTCACGTGTACGGTGACAGGCGGTTGATGACATGGGCAATGTGTTGATCCCATGACCTAATGGTGGACAGCTCAGCACATTCACAGGAGAACTAATAACCCGGGCATCGTGTGGGGATTCATCCTCAGATGAAGCCATGTCCTTGGGGAGGACTGAGACCATGTATCGTAGCGATAACTTAATATTCTGTTTCTATGGTTATTCTTCATTCTTTGGGCAGTAGTTTTTCTATTATGGTCTTCCCTATTCTACCTCATCTCTAAGGGCGCTGTCACACCTAGCCTGTTCGATGGGTATCTCGCGACCTGCAGCGCCAGTTTGATTCAGTTCGTTCGGGCTGGGGTGAAAGCTGTCAACTGAATCCTGATGAGGTCCAAACAAGCTGAGAGCACATGAAAAGCTGCGTCTTCAAAGTGAACTTGAGCGTGCTTCGTTTGTGGTGTGACAGCAAATTTGACCGACCAAGATATTTCATGATATTCTATGAATATGTGATTTTAGCAGCGCTTCAAAGGCTAAACTACTTTCAAACCCATCTGCGATCTGTGTAAGCAGCGAATAAAGCCTGTATATGTAAGATCATTTGGTTACCATAGTAACGTGTACGCTGGTAATGCAACACCTCGTGAGTGCGGGGGTTTTCCTGATGCATCAGAGAGTCAGAAGGAGTGTAAAAAAGAAAGAGGTGTGTTACGTTTGTGCTGTACACCATGTGTTGTGACATCTCCTCATTAAAAAGTAACCCTCATCCTGTAATATTATGACAAGCTCTTCTTCTTCATCCTGTCGCCACCTGTTTCTCATTATCCGTAACACGAGGTCGAGTTGCAGTCTCAACTAATAATGCTCATAATTAGCTATTTCATGGTGAGCGCGCTCTGTGTGAGAACATACTGTAAATAAACTCATGTCAAGCAGTTAAATGCTGCATCACCTGCTGTCACTGGAATTTCACTGCTACAGTCGTGGTATGTGTGTGATGTATTGAGACATACCATCATAGGTGCCACTCTCCAGCAGCAATCCACTTTCTTCCAGGTCACGGAAGTCCCCCACACTGATGAAATTGTAGTCCACTCCGGGAACTTCCCCCTCTCTGGGTAGCCGAGTGGTACCTGCCGACAATGACACAGTTTAAGACCAAGCAGCAACCTCAGGAGCATGGTGGAGGGGAAAAATACTGTTAAACTTCAATTAAATGCCTTTGCTCTTTTACTAGCCCAGTGTGGCTACAGATTTTAACATATAACGGCCTGTCTTAATTAGATGCCTGGTTCACTGCAGCAGCCACAACCCATGCCAACCCTGTCTCCTAGAAATTACATTCATATACAACTAATCTAAAACAGCAGAGTTTTGAGGGAATCATAATGCCGAGCAAATTACGTTTTCAATCACGAAATGAGAAAATGTTGCTAATTAATGTATTTGGCAAGTTGCAAAAATGCTGACACTAAACCAAGGGCATATATTTCATTGTAAGATTTTGGGGAAGTTGGGATCTTCCGCCATATTACGCACCAAACACTGAATTTCCTGCATTCTGGTGAATTTTCACACATTAATTTGTTCCTTTCTGGCATCAATTTAAAGTGGAAATGTCTTTAGTTTTATCAAAATACCCTAAAACTTCAGTTAAAAGCCTAGTCCCTGTTAGCTGTTAGGTTAGCTGCTTCAATTTTTCATACAGATATAGCCAAGAGCACCAAAGAAGAACGTAATTCCTTCAGATTTACAGGCATGGTAAACAAGAGAGACCAAAAAAAAAGGCAACTCCCTGCCTCTGAATCCATCATAAAGTCAGAAAATGTCTCCATTCCTGGATTACCCTGTAAGTTATTCACATTTAGTGTAAGTAAATCTGTCATTAATCACCATTAATCTGTCTGGAGCCACAAATAATATTTGAGCCTTATAATAAAGGTAACAGCCTTATTAAGTCAATATTAGCTTATCAACATTGCCAATAGGTCTAATCATTCATAGGTTGTACGGTGGCTACTCTGCAGTAAGGTAGTAATGGATATTTGGTATCTTGCACGAAAGCAAACAAATCTGTCTATGTACTATTAAATTCAATATTTTCCTACAAGACTACTCCTCTCTGGATGTGGATTCCAAAGGTAGCTTTGCTAAAGAGATTCGAGACAAGATACCGCTTTGGATGTCCAGCAAAAGTTAGAGAAAATGCGCCCGGCTGTAGACGTCGCTATGACTCACGTTTTAGTTGACAAAATGTTTAACCTTTTCTCTTTTTAATTTGTTGTAGGTTACACATTGTTATTATTGGATAATGTAAGAATTATCGTTCAAAAATAAGCGTTATACATTTCAATCTAGCCTAATTTTTGGTCAAAGCCACAGGTAGCCATTAGAGAAGGTTGTCTACTCCTGGTATAGGCATAGCTGTAGCTATCACCATTTCAGTATGTTTTCAGTTCATGAAAGTCAATCGTAACATTTTGGTTGCGTAACATTTTTTTTTGGCCAGTACATTTGTTTAAATGGTTTTAAGCCTGTTTTTGTCCAGTGAAAATTAGCATTAGCATTATCACAATTAACCACAGACTGTAAATGCACCATGCTAACCAAGCTAGCAGCTAGCATTAGGGTTAGCTTCACCCTCTTGTCCAAATATGGTCACTTCTCGCTCCAAAATGCCAAACTTGCGGCTTTGAAACAGGAGTCCACAAACTAATGGGTGTTGTCACGATGGCTGTGGTCATTATTTTTATACTGTCTATTTTTAAGACAAAGGGCACATCCAAATAAGGGGAATGTACCATTCACTAACGAGGGAGGATGGGTTTAGCCAGAAGTGACACTGTATCCAACATGCCCACAGAGATTTGATTCAAGTCCAAATACAGCACTCAGGGGTGAATCTGTGTCTACATCATGAATAGTCAACAGAGCTGGGACCACAAAGCTATTAATACATTATTAAAATATGAAACACAGAAAAAAAACCTTCTCCCTCACAGCAGCACAGCTGTCAGAATACAGAGCAAGTGTAACTGATGATAATGATAATGAACAGGATTTTAATTGCACACTTTTACTTTGACTTGTGTGAACGGCAGCACCACTTTTATTCCTTAAGGATGCAATTAAATACTATATTAATGCCGCACACACAAGTGAGGAGAATCAGAGACGACAGCTTTAGTAAGTTGTGCACCAAGTAACATGAATGGATGAAATTTAACTTCACTGTTGACCTTCTGCCTGTTTGCTCAATAATTGCACTTTTATATCTGCAGTGCATTCACAAAGCAATTTCTCCTCAAAATCCCACGCACAGCTTAATTTCCATGGCGATATAGTGGAATATAATGATTTAACATAAATGTATAATGGTGAATAATGCTACTTAAGTAAAAAATGTGTTGATGCCAGACTTTTTCTGGGGCATCCGTATTTGCAATAAAGCAAAGAATTAATTTGTGAATTCCCCCCACAGCATATTCACTGTGAACGTCATTTCCAATAAAGATTACTGCCTTACCACCTGTTTCCACCGGGGAAAGATTTGTTCATGTTCATTAACCAAGGCTAGACTCTCCTAGGACGTGGGAGTAAAAATCAGTGACATTTTTTACAGTATAGCGTCTCCTTTATGCCAGGGGTGACGGTCAAGGTCAGCAGCTTTGTGTCTGAAATCATCTTGAAGCAACAGTTGCAAAGTGAGTTCAAACTAATTTCTCTTTTCTTTTTCACTTGAAGGAAGAGTGGGTGAGATTTAGGGGGGTTAGTGGCATCTAGTGGTGAGGGTTGAAGACTGCAACCAGCTGAAACTTCTTTCTGTTTAGAATTCCTTCAGTGATCATTGTCCAGGAGGTTGTTACGGTGAGCCGAATTACCCGCAGATGACTCTTCCAGAAATTAAAACTGGTAAAAACACTGATTTAAACTGGGATGTCACTGGTGCCTCAAGAGACCTAAATCACCAGTTTATACACTTGAAATTCTGTCATAAAGCAAATCTAACGCCTAGACTAAGACATGAAATGGGGCCGGTACAGGACCCTTATGGCTCATTTTGCCCCCAGAGAACTGTTGGCTCTTTTATACATGTTGTATGGGAATGTCCGGGGGTTTTTGGCTTTGGGGGAAGGTTATAAACACCAATGCTGAACTAACAGGGATGCAATTACCAGTGGGCCCTGCCGTACATCTTCTAAATGATGATTCCCATGATTCCCTTACAGACAGAACTTGTACCTTTTTCCTGATCTAGATGTTCAAGAGGTTTTTACCCCTCGTCAAATTATTCGCAGAGGTCTCCTCTCGAAAACAAACAGTCCCAGACATGGTAATTTAGACACTGAATTAAGTAGTTCCATCCATCCGTTTTTGTTTGCTTATCCGGGGCCGGGTCAAGGGGGCAGCAGGCTAAGCAAAGCACCCCATACGTCCCTCTACCCAGCAACACTTTCCAGCTCCTCCTGGGGGACCCCAAGGTGTTCCCAGGCCAGACGAGATATGTAATCCCTCCGGCGTGTTCTGGGTTTGCCCCGGGGCCTGACACCAGTGGGACGTGCCCGACACACCTCCAGTGGGAGGCACCCAGGAGGCATCCTGATCAGATGCCCGAACCACCTCAACTGACCCCTTTCGACGCATAGGAGCAGCGGCTCTACTCCGAGCTCCCTTTAGATGTCTGAGCTCCTTACCCTATCTCTAAGGCTGAGCCCAGACACCTCACGGAGGAAGTTTCGGCCGCTTGTATCCGCAATCTCATTCTTTCGGTCACTACCCAGAGCTCATGACCAAAGGTGAGTGTTGGGATGTAGATGGACCAGTAAATCGAAAGCTTTGCCTTTCACCTCAGCTCCTGCTCCGTTTTACATTACAAAACAGTGTTTCCTATTTCTATGTGCTGCTGCACCCAGTGTGCTCACCTTTTTTCTCCGATAACTTACGATCCAGATGTTCAGGAGGTATTTACTGGGAGCCAAATTACCCACAGAGGTCTCTTCATCTTCAAAACAAATTGACCTGGGGCCTCATTTATAAAACAGCGTGTAGGATCCATATTTAAACTGTACGTATGGACAATGCGCAAAAAAATATTCAACACTTTCTACAGTCAGGCTTCCACCTCACCATCTGCGTCGCCAATTTCCGTCTCTAAAATGTTCCTAAGCATGGGTTAAAGTTTCTCCCATTAAGTCAGTTTTTATAAATCACAACCTTCCTGTGGGAAGTGGCGTACGGTACGCCTCTTTCGGTAAGTTTTTCTGGCAAGGCTGTTAGCTATGGTGGCCAGTGCAAAAACATGGAAACGTGACAAGTGTTGATTTGTCCGTTCTGGGCTTTCGTATAACGACATGGCGGACTCTGTAGGCGAGGTCCCTATGTAGATATTAACGGCTCATTCTGAGGTAACATAAACACTTTTATTCTTATTTTCAGGTGATTATACATTAAAAGAAACACACTTTTTAAATCATATTCCATGTCTGCCGATATATCCCCCTAGATCCTACACACTGGACCTTTAAAACACTTTGCTGCTCCGAAAGTGAAGCTCTACACTTCATTTCAGTTTATGCAAAGTTAGTCATTAAATAATAATCTACCATAACTGCCTCAAGTGGTTAAAGAAAATGTCATGTTTTGCCTCTTTGATACTCTCATCTATGAGACACTGACGACATATTGTTATGAAAATGATTTTACGCTCCTTAACACGCCGGCTCTGCTTAACGTTATCTTAGATGTAATCAGGGCTTTCACGATACCTCAGCTGAACCGCTCAGCTATCCGGCTGCGCTGCAGGCACGAGGGAATTTAACTCAGAGTTTAATAGGAACCTATCCTCGTTCTTCATTTTCTCTCTGTGTCACCATCCATCCTGCCTGCAGTATAAGCCGTCACATCTGAAACTGCTTAGTCTTTTGCAGAGACAATCTTTTATTCTGTCAAACAGAGCAATCAGAGGAGACCAGCAGAGCAGAGGAGGCAATATGAGCTTGTTTATGGAGGTAGGAACAAAGAAATGTGGTTATTCAGCTATTTATTTATTCAGCTATGTTACCTGAAGACTCACAAACAAGTTGGATCACATTTAACACCCTTACACTTTCCATTCTTATAACACCATCATGTG